GCAGTGCTGCTGCTGCCCAGAGCTGTGGGTGCTCCATCTCTGAGGGTGCCCAAGGCCATGGCTGGAGCTCGGGGCAGCCTGAGCCGGTGGGGAGCAGCAAGCCCACAGCAGGGTTTGGGACTGGTGCCTTCTAACTCAGCCATTGTATGGTTCTTGTTGCCACCTATGGCCGTCTGGGAGCAGGGCAGCAGTCAGCTCTTGTCTAAGGGTGTGCAAGGGAAGGGGAGCAGGAAGAAGGGGGAAAGGGAATACCCACACTGCTCCTGTTCTCCGTACTCTCTGGATGTCTGGAGTCACACTGTGCTCTGAGTGCCACAAGGAGTGCGTGCAGCTGAGGGGACGGAGCTGTGTGTGTGTGACAGGGAATGCAGCTCCCGGAGCCAGGCTGGAGGTCAGCCCATGCCCCGTGGGGGCAGCTCCTCAGGCTGCCGGGGGTCCTGGTGTCACTGGTGGGAGGGATAAAGCCTGTGTTCATCATCTGAGTCACAGAACATTGGAAGTCAGGTTCACACGGATCCCTGAGCCCAACCCCTGCCTGCACACAGCACTGCACACAGCACTGCACACACCCTATGGCTGAGTGCTCAGCGCTCCCAGTGTGGGGTTGTGCCCGCTGCCCCAGAAAGTTGTACCATGCCTACTGCCCTCCGGGGCACAGCCTTCCCCAGCCCCCCCCCCCCCCCCCCGAAGCAGCCCCGTGCTGTTCCCTCGGGCCCTGTCGCTGCCAGCAGAGAGCAGAGCTCAGAACTGCCCCTCCACTCCTCCACTCCCTGGGAGGGGCTGTGGGCCATGAGGGGTTGTGGGATGCCATGGAGCTTCCCCTCACCCTCCTCTGCTCTGTGCCAAACAGTCCAATGGACCTGAAGCTGCTCCTCACACCCTTTGCAGACTTACAGACCAATCAGACAACATTATCATAAAGTGTTTATTTATTTTTTTAAATATCAAATTTATTTTACACATCAATTTTGTTGATAAACAGACCCCCAATATTAAAAAAAAAAAATCAAAAAAAAATCAAGTGTGTATTACTTTGGGCAGAACCACATCCCATTTTCTGATGACACAAGCGCGCTCCCCTTCAGCTACCTGCCCAGAACAGTAAATGACACAAATGCAACCAGCTGTAGGATTCCTGAGAATTGATACCCTCAAGTTCCTTATGTGAGTTTGTAAAACTCTTAAGCTAAAAAGCATCACTCAAGAAGTAACCCAAAATACTACGCATTTGGATCACTAACTAAGCTATGTCTACACAGTGCAGGAAGAAATCTGTTGAATGCTTCCGAAGAGAACAATGTACACAAAACTGACCCCATTTCCCAAGCTGGTCTCCAAGAGAGGATGGCAAAAGGCCTCTTTGAATTAATGTTTAATTTCTGTGGAGCCACGTGGCAATAAGTCCAAGTCTGGTGAAGAAACCCCTAGGATGTGTTTCTTCTTTTGATCATTAATGGCATAGCGTCTGAAAGAAAACCTACCACCAAGTAAAATATTGCTACTTCTGAGGAAAAGAGACAGCGAGGGGGTGAAGACAGAGGGAGAAAGAAGGAAGGGAACATCCCTTGGAGGACAAGGTTAACAGTCCTTGAGTCCAAGTGCCCACACAAAAAGTCAAGCACAATGAGCAACGAGGCAGAGATTGTCACAATAACACAGCTCTGCTCCGCCAGGAAACGTCCCCTCCTGCCAGACCACTCTGTGCCCAGAGACTGCCAACTATTATTTCAATGCTCATCACCTCTAAGCTTGCCTGGAGCCTCATTTACAGGAGTACATACTAAGGAAGAGGCCAAAGAGATCCTTCAGTATTCTCAGGAAAATTGTTATCCTCTCAGTAACTGTTAGGTACTGTAACCACAGTGGATTCAGGAAATACCCAGGAACATGCTCAATGGACCCAGAGTGGCCACCACAGGCACTGCCATCTTTACAAAGCAGTCCCGTGTTGTTGTATTCTCTATAGGCAGAACTTTCATGGGGAAATCATTTTGCCAAGCTGATGTGACAGCTTAGTGCGGAGCACTGATGAATGAAGAGAGTGTAAAGAGCCTTATTTGAGCACAGTCCATTCACTTAGTTCCTCCAAAACCAGGACAGCTCTTGGCATTTCATCCTTATCCCTACTCCAGCCAAAAAGTATTTGTGCCTACCACACAAATACAGACTCCCACTCTGCTGGCCAGAGGAGAGCTTGGTGAAGGGGTTGGTAAAGGCTGGGCCAAGGATGTGTGCATAAAGCAGGGGACACACACACACACTGAAACAGAAGACAACTTCTAGACAGCGATTACTCTTGTATTTAATTTTAACTCAGATACACAACTCTGCCCAGATTTTCTCTAATGTAAATCTTGCTTCTGAAAAGCTAAAATCACTACCTAATCTAGCAGCGCACAGCCATTCGCTCAAAGTAAGGCTCTGTGGAATTCAGAGATTTAGATCACCGGGCTCAGATCAACTGGATAAGAGCATTCATCAGCTGGGCTCAGACCAACTTGATAAAAAAGTGTTCATCAGCTGGGGGAGCGTGAGGGGATGGGTCAGGTTTTGTTTCTAGCAGTTCAGAGAAAGTTACAGAAGAAATTCTAGCAGTATTGATAAGTGCTTCAGTACAGCTTTGGCAGGGCAGATTTCAAAACCTGTATTTGACAAAGAATAAAACTGAGCATTGAAGCGAGTTGGCTGATGCTCTAAAGCCTTTATAGCATAAATTCTGTATATGCAGTCTAAGTAGACATGGCCATAAAACTAGAGACTTTAACCAATTTGGTGCAAAGCAGCAGTATTTCACCTAGCTATTAGCAATTGCTTCTAAAACCATAAACATGTAAATATGAGAAGGGTATAACATTGAATGGCTAACATCTGATGCTTCAAGGAGCTGGCAGTAAATGAACCCGCAGGCATCCTGCAGGGCCAACCTGCAGCTGGTGCTGTTGGTGCACAGACCACACGTACCAGAGATGGGGGCTCACGCTGAGACCCATGGCATGAATCAGGAGCAGAAACACTGCTTCGAGTGAGGAGGCTCTGGGGCTCAGCTCTACTCAACAGTGATGCTTTTGGTAATGAAACAGATGTGAATAGGCCTAATATTGAAATCTTATTTCCTAAAGCTTCTAAAGAGATCTGATGACATTGTCTGCACTCCTGTAGAAGTCCAAGCATTACCCTTTACAGAATGAGATTTTGATTATTTGGGGTGCTCAGTGCAAAGAGTATCAACATGCCTCACCTGGGGTCAACTCTTACTACCTGCACATAGAGATCACAAAGCTGTAATCCTGCCTCATTAACAACTCCTCCTGAACAGAGCCTGCAGGGAATTACCCGATGCTGCTCAGGCAAGGGGTTCCCAAAGAACCAAACACTGCTCCCAATGCAAGCACAGAGCAGTGCCTGCTGCTGCAATCACCAGTAGTGGGATGTAAGTGAAGTGCGTCTGGGGACACCAAGCCTCACTGGTACACCCACAACTCAAGCAAAAGCTGCCTCCAACAGAGGAATGCCTTACAGCTCTTTAGAAAATAATGGATATATTGGCTACCCAAACACCTAAGAAGAATCTGATGACCACCACTCAGACAAACAACTCTGCAGGCTCACAAATGAAACCAAATTTGTGTTGTTTTTAAACGCTACCCTACACAAAAGAAAAGCTTGGCATACACATAGGCAAACCTGCTAAGGAGCAGGGAAAACAAAACACCAGGGAGAGATCTGGGACAACAACAACAACTGAAGCGATGAACAAGTCATGTTTCCAGCCACTGCTCATCAGTCACTTCAGGTCTAGCTCCAAAGCAGAAAATTTAAGATGAACACTTCACAGGGAGCCACTTCAGAGTTTCATGAGTGAGATTAAGTAAAAGTTCCTACTTAAAATTTGGTATCATGTTTCAACCATGCTTTCCTTTCCCAACCCCAAGAGTATTTTGACGCTCTGCAAAACCCCCGAAGTAGATCACTTGAAAAAAAAAAAAGCATCTGGTAAGGGCTTCCTACTGCCTCAGCGAGTCCTCATCAGGCAGGCTGCTCCCCAAGGGCCTCCTGGAAGGCCACGATGCTGTAACACAGATGTCATGTCAGTGCATGTTCCATAAGCCCTACCTGGGAGCCCTCACTTTTTAAGAGGTATTCAATTAGTAGCCCATCAGGCACTACAGACTTTCTGCAGTTTCTGAGAGGCTGATCATCCCCAAACATCAAGATAAATTAGTGCAAAGCAAATTTCTTCATTCTGCTGATCATAACCCCATGCAGCACATAGAGAATCCATTTTCCAAGGATAGATGCAATTAAAAGCCATGACACGCAGTTGCTTTGTTATGAGGTTTCATCATCAAAGTTTTGCCTAAGTTGTTGAGCTTATTCTTTTGTAGAGAGGAACATGATATGGGCAATGTTAAGAAAAAAAAAAAAGGTAAAATACTCTTTTCCCCTTTCTACTTCCCCTCCCCACCTACAACTGATATCGGCACATCTTCAAGTAAGTCAGCACATCTCTTAGTTTTGCTAGAACCAAATTCTATCCCTTCCCTTTTTCTCTCTATCTCCTATCCCCACGATGTAAACTGGCCCAGGAGCACAAAAGTGTTTGTCAAAAGCAGGTATCAGCTCTCCCCACACAAACAAAAACCCACGCTTCCAAAAACACTTGACACCCTCCCATTCCTTTTGCAAAGTTTTACACACCTGTGGGCACCTGTAGTAGCTGCCACAATTGTTTCATTAGCATCACAGACATTTGATTATAAGGTGTAGGAGAGAGAAAACAGTACAAACCCAAAAAACCCATTTAGAAAACTTTGCATCTGTGTCATACCAGACTCAGTGTGTGCCCTGTATAACCCCATGTGCCATGCCTCACCACTGGCTGCACACATACACACACTCAATTCATTTCACAATCTGCTCTGTGCTGGACAGGGCGGTGATCTTAATGGCTTCTGCTTCTCATTCATAACACTGGAACTTATTTAAAAAATTTGCATTTTTTCTTTCAAAAGGCCAAATCTAACAAGCGAAACAGAAGAGACAAGTTACTTTGGCTGCAAATAATTAAAAACTCTGGCTCAACATTCTGCTTGCACATTACGTGTAATTTAGATATTACTTTTAAAAGACCCCCTCTTCCACAGTTATGTAGGAACAACAATACTCTTGGCTAGCAAAATGAGAAGAGCAAGATCTGCATTCCCATCTGCTTGTTCCAAAGCCTCCAGAGCTTCTTGCGTGGTAAAGCCAGCACTAAGGATTCGATCAATATCAGCTGCAGGGAAAGCAGGTGGTGAAGCAACCAAGGGAAGTTCAGTGGACTCAGTAGGTGAGCTAGGCAGTGGTTCCTCACACCCACCCAATGATGCTGGGCTGTCAGGAGCAGAACTGCTGCTTCTCTCAGGTGCTCTTGTGAGTGATGCCTGAGTATCTTGAGATGTATCTTCATCCAAAGCAGGCTTAGAGGAAACAGTGTTCTGTTTCAAAGTCGGACTTTGGAACCATTCTGGCAAAACCTTTGCCTGCTCAGAGCTCTCTTGTTGGTCAGATGTCCCTGCAATCAAATCACTCTTACCTGAAAACTTTGGAATTTCTAAAGCATCTTCTCCAGGAGATTCCATGTGAGTGACAGACCCAAGATTAAAGTTTTCTATGCCAGAATCGTAAGGCTTGCTCCCCTCTGCTTTTCCACCTTCATATCTCACATTAAAGGAGGAACTACTCTGTTGTTGGCCATCTGGATCTGACACTTTCCATTCATCTTCAGAAAACCCCTTCTGTTGTATTTGCTCTTTGTGAACCATTTCCAGCTGAGAGACTTCAGATGTAAGAAGTTTACATTCTCCTTTACAACTGATCAAGAGTTTGTGAAGCTCTTTCAAGGCTGATGCTAGAGAGAAACATGGCTCTTCTAAATGTCTACCCAGATCTGTGTCCTGTTGATGAATGATGGAGGGGGAAGAACTGTGTTCAGCTGTTAAATTGGACAACTCATTACACTTTGTGGGGATTTCACTGGTGCTTTTAGACTGCAACACATCAGAGGTGGAAACTGCATCACTCGGGGAAGTTGCAGACTTCAGTGACTCCACTTCCACAGAAGAGGCATCTGAGTTCAGGTCAGATGCCCTTCCATTTTTGGCTTGCCACTTCTGCTTGCTTGCTGAGATATGCACTTCAGCTACAGAATGCTCAGCTGTATCCAATTCCATATGCACACAACTACAGGATGTTTGGATATGTCCTTTCACACAGGAAAGATCAGCTTTCTCCAGTCTACCTTCTCTCATTTCTGCAGGAAGACTTTCTGGCTGACTGGCTGTACGGCCCTCTTCTTCCATAACAGGTTTCTCAACGCCACCAATGTTGCCTGGATGTTCTGGGTCAGTCTTATCAGTTTGTTTCTCCAAATGCTCAAACTTCTCTGGCTCTTTGCACATCTGATGGTTTATGGCAAGCTCATTCTTCAGTTTTGGTTCCTTTAGTTCTGAAGGCAGAGATGCACCTTTTATTTGCCCAAGCTTAGTAGTGCTGTCAGTCAAACTATTTTCTTTTGTCATTTTCAAAAGAGGTTCCTCACCACAGCCCTGTTCTATAGTATTACATTCCATTAGACTGTCAGCAAGAAATGTTTCTTCAAGTGTCTTCTGTGAAAGGCAAGCTGGACTGCAAGAATTCACCTCTTCTGTCTGGAGAGAGCGGTCATTATTTGCCAAGGAAGAGTTATTGGAAAGATGCTGTAACACAAGAGGATGATCTTCTTCTGGGGTGATCCAGCATTCAGTTGCAGACTCAATTGACTTGACGGCTCTAGGATCAATGGGCTCTGTGAGGCTACATTTGGATAAGCAAGTTGAAGCAGGGGCAAAGACAGATCGATCAAGTAATTGATTTGTGGGATTACAGGTCTTAGAACTTAGTCCTGAAGACTGGACTGGATTTTGAAACCCATCAGAAGCTGGTAATGAGGGCATTTCCAGTGAGGTAGTTTCTTTGTCACTATTCTCTATACATAAAGATAGGGAAGAAAAAAAAAAGTAGTTAGGACACAGAAGCAGCACTATTTCCACAGAATCACAGAACTGTAAGGGTTGGAAGGGACCTCTAGAGATCATCAAGTCCAACCCCCTGCAAAGTAGGCTCCCTACAGTAGTTTTCAAGTTATCCATGCCTTTAGAATAGAAGCTAAAACAACAGTTTACATATCAGCTTGGCATATTACCTCCACATGGGCATTACACAACAGAGCACCACTCTATTTATAATACTAGTTACTGCAAGAAGTTCTTAGACAGTCCCAAGTGCTCTAAGTATAAGCAAGGGCAAATCCAGAATTACATTCCAGCTGCAGACACTTCATTACTGACAACGAAAGACAAAAAGCCAGTTCTAGGGTAATGAGAGAGCTCACAATTAGGGGATATTTAAACTTCAAAGTGAGCAATTATATCACTGAGATGATGAAATCCCAACATCCCTGTTTATTTTTCAAAGCAGAGCAAGATCTAAATTCCTCTTTGCAAGCTTCAATGGGATACGTGTGCACAGTACTTCATAGGGGTGCTTCATAGATGGCTTGCACAAGCTAAAAATAACTTTAGGTTTTCTTTTAGCCATTACCTTCTCTTTAAATCAAGACCGTAGGCTTAAACACCTTATTACTTTTACATCTGCTTAATCAGCGCAGCTGCAACAATGGCAGCAAAAGACATCCACAGAAGCAGTTTTTCTTCTCTAGCATGTTAAGGCACATGATGATTAGAAAACAAGATATCATATGAAGGATGTTTGCTAACCTCTGGATGTCAGCTTGAACTGAAATTATGGATATAAAATTACTTGGGGAAACTGTAGCATAATGGCTGCATTCATCAGTACACTGCTTTGAGAAAGCAGTACACAAATATACATATAACAGCACAACGGTATTTAAGCTCATACTTATACTTCAAATTTCCACTTCAAACTTATATTAAGACATACAGTTTTGGAGCAGGTTCCAGTGGTTTGGTTTTATGTATACGTGTGTATGTGTTGCATATGAGTTCCCTGAACTATCAAAGAATTCATTGCCTCTGCTCAACAAAAGCCGAGGCTGAGGCAACACAAGTGTTTTAGGTAAGCAACAAGCATCGCTTGGAAAGCGATGGAAGGTCAGAGTTACAGGGCTCTCCTCTGCAAGAACAGAGGGCCCCACCTTTCCTCATACACGCAACTCAGGTTTGCTGCCTTTGGCCAAGTGAAGCAGGATGTTCTCTCACATTCTTAAACAGGTTGGTAATTTCACATCATGTGGGTTTCTCCCTAGTAGTTCAAAGGGAGGATGGTCTTGCTGCAAGTAGCGTGAACGTTGTAGTGAAAGCTTATGAACTGATGTCTATAAATACCTGGTCTGTGGCCCACTCCAGCTGCAGTAAACACACACTACATGCATCAAGGCTTCTGACGTTCTGTTTGGATTAGGAAACAAACACACCAAACTCGTGTTAGCATTCAAAGCACAAGACATGCATGGTTATAGTCCTGCAACATTGCAGCTCCCCTCCCAACCATCCATGAAGACAGCACATGAGCAGCAGGAGCTCTTCACATTCCCCAGCTTTCAACAGCAGGTCTGCCCAGGCGATTCACTGCATCGAATCAAAAATAGCTCTGCTGAAGAACAGTTGAAAGGCTGTTCTGCATTACCTACACTGCAGAGCGTGAGAAAGACACACACACTTGACAACATATTTGCAGCACAAGGAACATGTCTAGCATTGTGCTTGTTTGTTCTTGCACAGCCACATTCAGGAGACATGCTTCAGTGAAATGAGACATGAAATGGCATCTCAGACCACACTCCCAGCTGCTACTGCCCTACAGGGGATCATGCCAGCACAGACAAGAGAAGATGAGCAAACATCAGCTTGCTGCAAGTGGGAAACAAAGATCCTAGGGCAGAAATCCCAAAAACGTACTGTTTCCTGAGGCACTGAAGAACAAAGCAAAGAAGGAACACCCAGAAGTCAAAAAGCTCACTGCTTCCTACTCCACATGGAGGACAGATTAATTGCAGACCACTACAGACTGGGTCTAGGTATCAAGCTAGACTAAATAACTGCACTTATCTTGCTAATGGTCTAGTCTTGCTAATATATCGGCTCTCATGTTGTCATTAAATCACCAACTTGACCTTTGCTGAAAGAGCATCCATTCTTCCATTAAAGTTCTACGTCACATACCCAAACAGCTATTCAGATTGTACTGTATGATTTGTTGCATATGCTCCCCTTCCCATCCCAAAGGTCTCCAAACTCAAAGGTCCCAAGCATATACAACCGCTTAACCTCAACTTTTTACAGATATCCAGGAGTACTGGAGAGCACTAACCATGCTTGTGTACAGCAAGCTGTGCCTCCTGCTCTGTGTCACGGAAGAAGTCAGCCTTTTTCACTTCAGGTACTTGCTTCTTTTATTCTCCATGGGATAAAAACAGTGCACTGATTGCTGTGATACCACACTTCCACATACACATTGTGCACCTGCTGCTGTATTTTGTACCAGAGTAATCTTTTCTCTTGGTTGCACATCTGACCTTAATGAAGCTAGAACAACTTGGCAATGCTGGTATATTTAAAATCCAGCATTATCCTGCACATTTTCAGACTGCTCATCTTTGACATGGGTGGCAAAGAGGTTTGTGACAGAACACAGATGAAAACAAGAGAGAGCTTTTTCTATGCAGCAGTATTATGTTCAAGCTCTCTTCCAAGCCAGTACTTTAGAGAGGAAACAGAATGGTCTTTTCACTCTGTATTCAGGGTATGATCATCAGGGAGTCACAGCCACTCCAATCGCAGGAAGCAGCTGGTATGCTGCCAAGCACTTCTGAGCTCATCCTGAGACTCACTGTCATCCTCTTCCCAGGGTATACAAAGGAGCTGAATCCCAGCCTCACCAAGGATACCCATCCAGCTAACACCAGGAACAAACTCCTCTCCACAAAGTCCATCATCAGGGATAGATTCCTCTCTGTATTAGAAAAAGTCTGAGTTGCACATGTGGAGGCAATGCCTTCCTTACATCAAGGCTGCTTGGATGAGAAGCTGCACATGGGATAATCTCTTAAGAACTCTGATCGCCTGTGGACATACAGAGTGATTTCTTTTGTATCACTTGAGCTGCTATGAAAGATCACAGGCCTTGTGGGAAGCTGAGGTTCCTTGATACTGCTCTCTTTCTCCCCCTCTCCTGTTTACAGCCCTTTCTCTTGCTTTTTTTCTGGTGCAGTTAATAGTTTTGGAAGAGAGCAAGAGTCTGAGTTCATATTCTGACATCTCAGAATACAGCTAACAAGATTCCTGCAAACCAGAGGCTTGTAAGAGGTCCAAGGCTTGCCTACAGTCCACCTAAACAAGACCTACCTTAATTTTGTGCATTACTGTTCCACAGGTATTAAGTAAACATACAAAATCAATTTCCTATTCTCATAAACCTTCCAAGTTTCTCCAGAGGTCTCCAGCAATGGAAATGGTAGACTGCTGATCAGCCTGAGCAAAAAGCCTCTTTGTTTTTAGAACTGTATTGGTATGTAAGCAGCTTTAAGACATTTTAGAGACTTCTCATTTCAAAGCACTCACCTAAAATGCTGTAATTACACAGACACATTGTTTCAGATGAAGACTTTTTGCTTTCTGACTGATCCTTTCACCAGAGAGCTAAGTCCAACCAACTACAATGGCTGCAATTTTAACTGGAGAAGAGCTCATCTCCACATTTTCCAGGTTATGTGAAGAGATATGAGCCCAACCCAACGAGCCTGACCTCTAGGGATGTCAAAACTCAGCAGGAAAAAGACAAATTTCTGTTTATCCTCTTTACTTGCTGGAAGTTAAATTAATAAGCATTCAAAGACTGGTTTAGAAAGTCAAACATGTAATCCATTTCTTGCTGGTATACTCAAGTCTGGCCTTCCTCTGGAGCTTTTCTATCTGTGGGAAGCTCACGAGTCTAAAATAGAAGAAAATAATTCAAAAGGGTGTGTGCTCTTCTTATGTAAGCCAACTTGGTTATTTGCAAAAAAAAAAAAAAAAAAAAAAAAAAAAAACACATCACTGATTACAAGCAGCAAGTGGTGTCAAAGAAAAAAAATCACTGCATTATAACTTTGTTATATTTCTCTATGTGTATACACACACAGAGTTATCAGACTCTCATTTTTAATCATGCTACAGTTAAAAATTGGCAAAAAAATCATTCAGGAAATCAATTTTATCAGCTTAAGCATGGCAAAGTGTTTTGCATGTTTCTAAAAACTGCCGTGAATTTGTGCTGTCTTGGAAACATAGGTGGGCACAAGCTGTAAGTTAACACGCACTGCTACATTACAGCTCCTCAGCAGAGGGGCAGCAATCAGACACTGATGTATCTCAGACACTGCACACATAAGACTTGAGTAGTTGCTGAGACTGCTATTCCTCATGTACTAAGATCTGTACTTACTGCTAGGGCTCATTTATTTTTGTATGCTGTATCTGTTAAGAATCGGATTGATGAAAGTCACCTCAGTACTGTCCTTATGCGAGGCTGATAAAACAAACATAACTGAGTTGTGTAGCTGACTAGGCACAGCAATTCAAACCAGGTGAATGGGTGCCAGAGACAACCACTTATCTTTGAAGACCAAGGTATAAGAGCTGCTAGAAAGTTGCAAGAAGAGCACAAATTCAACAGCAAGCATGCTCAAATGCCTTCGTGCAGACAGATTTTGCTATATGGAAATGAAAAGATTGGTGCAATTAGATGCAACAAGCAGGAACAAAGTCCCCTTCTCTCCACCTTTTGCTCACTGATGCTGCATTAGGCTACATCTAGAAACTGAGAAAAGGAGAAGGGATCTTCCAGTGACTGTCAACAGGCGTTCTGATACACAACAAGAAAACCAAGCAGATTAATATTTCATCTGAGCTCATTACAATACCTGCTTCCTCTACAGACTTCTGTATTGCTTCTGCTAGTTCCTGGTCTGCAATCTCCTCTGGCCGCACATCTTCTCGCCCAGCCCCATAAGCCAGCCTGGCACACTCCGGGAGCTCACCCTCTGGGAGGAAAGTGGTCTGTGAGCCAGTCGTGCCAATCACCAGTACATTCTTCTTGAGATCAATGGAACACTGCGAAAGAGACACTGAGACATCAGGGGCCTGCATAGAGCACATAAGTTCCCAGAAAAAAAGAAGAGACAAGGCTGAACAATCCATTTCCAATGGGAGCGGCTCATAGCACTATGCAAAATGGACAGAAAGCATCAGCTATAAACAGAGACCTCTATTTGACTTGTTTTGTATTTAATCATTCAGTTAAAAAGCTCTGAGTGTCTTTGATCTGAGCAAAAAACTTCAGGGAGCAGCCAGACACCTTATACATACATCTGTGATGTACATCACGTAAATACTTCTTTCATGACTGGTTGAAAAATAATCTACTATTTTCTCTCCCCAGAAAATCCTACAACATTCCCGGGTATGGTGCTTACACTGTGCTTAGTGCCTTGGAATTGGAAAATTGAATAACTATTTCAAAACTGGTTTTGCTACCTGATGCCTCTTAAGCATATCCAGTCCGAGAAGCATGTCCATGGGCTGCTCTTCAAGGATGGAGAAAGAACACGCCAGGAAATCCCCTTCAATTTGAACCTGAGCTGAAACACATGGGGGAAGAGTCATCACCTTGCAAGCTACAGTGCAACACATCATGTTCTGCTCTTTAATCCCCTAGGAAAGGCTTGCGTAATCACAGTGGTGAGAGCTGATATCAGGACTCTGGTATACAGCCTTGGTCAAAAGAAGCCCAGCTGTGGGCAAACACCAGGGATTATCAGGCCTACACTGGTCTTGGGTAGTAAATTATTATCAAAGCTGTTCTGGTGTTAGAGCCTTAAGTACTGCTCATCTAAGCCTCAAAGCCAGAGCTAGAAGAGCTAAATACAGTTTATTGGAGCACAAGCCTAAGAAGCAAGAACAGCAAAAAGAATCACTTTTTTCACACAATAGGGACAACCTTCTCTCATCTAGAAAACCTGCACATACATGCAGATTTCTCCTCCTGGAAGAGGATCAAATCCCTCACCTAAAAGAATTACATGAGACAGAATGCTCAAGTCAGAATAGTTGCTAAAACTAAGAATGGCAGTACTTACCTAAGTGCACTCTGCCAATTATCTTCTGAGTGCCTACACCTTTAGCAATGCCAGCCCACCGCCGATCCACCAGCCTCATTATGTTGCACCTTTCAGCACAAGCTTGGCTCATAATAGTCATCTGGGCACCTAACAGCAACAGAATTTGTGTTAAGTCTTGACAGGGCATCCCAATTAAAATACCCTCCTGAAAGGGCTAAAGATCTTGGATTCAGTAGCTGGGAAACCACATCACCTGCATGAGGCAACTGTGTCATGGTATAAAAGGCTTTT